AAAGCAAAAAAACAAACTCCCAAATTTATGGTTCAGCGGCAACATGAACAGAAACAGTTCCTTTTGAAGACACTCCATCGACATCCGCATCGTGCTGCCCACTTCGGGCAAGATTTGAATGAGAAGCCATGCTTCTCTCGCTTTGATCTTTCTCTGCCTGAGATGAGGCCGCATTTGCTTCATCATTGGGAGAAATGGGAGAAGGGGACAATTCAGCAGTGATCGTATTTGGTGGAGATGGGTTAGATGGCAATGATGAAGGGTTCATCATATTCTGACTTGGAGATGACATGCCAAGATTGGGTTCGGTTGGGGCAAGCTCGGAAGTACCACATGCAGCAGATTTTAATAGCACAAGAGAAGATTGCTCTTGATGAGTTGAACCATTTCTCTCACAACAAAGGTCCCTTTGTGAGGCAGCGCCAGATTCCTTTAAACCCTGCAGAAATTCAGACACCATCTCCAGTTTCTGTTTAGTTTCTTGGATGTCCCTCGGATTGGGAGCCATACAGGACGTAACCAATTTGAGCACTTCAGATGAAGGAGACAGTTCAGAAGCAGCTGTAACGTTTTGCAGAGATGGCTTCATAATACTGCGACTTAGAGAGGACATACCAACGAATTGAAGCACTTCAGATGAAGGATTAGTCGTTATATTGTGCCCAGATGGCAGTGAGGAAGGGTTCATCATATTCTGACTTAGAACAGACATACCAATCAACTGAAGCACTTCGGGGGAAGGAGAAAATACAGATTCAGCAGTTGCGAGATTTGGCAGAGGTGCCTTAGCTGGAAAGGACAAAGGGTTCAAAATATTCTGACTTGGAGAACACAAGTCAACCCCTGGCTCTGAAGTGCTAGCAACAGAATTTAAAAGCACAAAAGACGCCTGTTGGTCTTGATGAGCAAAAGTTGAACCCTGTTTCTCACTGGGAAGGCCTCCTTGAGGGGTATCATCACTAGATTCCTTAAAACTCTGTAGGAATTCCGAGGGCATATGGAATCTATGTTTCTTCTTCTTCTTCTTCTTCTTCTTCTTCTTCAAGCTCAGTCGGGGATCTGATGGTTGAGAAGGTAGCGGACCAGGAACAGAAAAGGGAGGAATTGTGGGGTTTCCTTCCCCGTAAAGTAAGCGGACTGAGTGTGAAATTGCAGACAAAGTAGGCGGCAATGCAGGTTCAGCACAGTCGGGAGGTGGAATATTCACTGCTTCTTGAAGCCAGTGAGGAAGCTTTATCTTTGAACCACATTTTGCCACCTCTTTCCCCTTCAATGATGGGAGAACATGCTTTCCCTTATTGGTTTTATCTGAAGGCAGGGAAAACCCGCTTGACTCGCCATTTCCAGCATGTTTACTATCGTGCATGAAATTCAATGATTGGTCAAGAATGTTGGATAATTTTCCAAAACGACTTGCACTTTCTCCCCCCTCTTTTTGAGGAAAGTTTCCGGTGCTATTTAGACCATGAGGTCGAAAAGTACTTGTAGCCAAAGGATTCAGCATCAAAGGGGACTCCATGAGAAAATTTGAGGGCCCTGCACTTAAGTCTCTGGAAACACTTGTTGGGTACTTATCAGCATTCCATGCTGGGAGAGGATAAATATGGCTGAGATGGTCTGCATGTGAAAAGGTAGGAGGCAAGTCACTGAAACCCAATTTCAAGTCAGTCAGCTGGTTCTGGAATTTCAATGGCCCACCAAACTTGCTTCCATGCAATGCCCTTGTCATCATTTCATCAGGAATGCATGGAAACATGCTCGATTTCCCAACTTTAGGTGGCTTCAGTCCCTTCCCAGTAAATAATGATGGTATATCCAAAACTTTGATTTGTTCCTCTTCCCATCTCACCAACAGATCTTCCACAGTTTTGAACTTTGAAAATTTCAAACTAGGATCTTGCAGCATGGCATCCCAGTTACCCTGTCCATGTCTACGAACCCCAATCCACAGGTTATCCAGTTCTTCTTCGGACCAAATATGGATACATTTCTTTTTTGATAGATTTCCCGATGATCCTGTTCCAGTTCTTAGCATGATATCTTCAGAAACTTTCCTGTGGTTTTCAGGAAATGATGAAGGCAACTTAGGAGGTATCTGATTTAATCCAAGTGTTGGAGGTAATTCCAGTTCTTGCTGACTACACCTAGATGCGTCGGGCATAGAAAAGTTGAAATTTGGAAACAAATGCATAATGCGATCATGTTGTGG